ACTAGAAGCTAATTTATTGATGGCATCTGGAATAAAACTTCTATGTACTTGTATGCTATTTTTAAAACAATGTTTTGATAGCCCTGGCCAGCGTGGCTCAGCTGGGTGGCTCATCACCCCGTGCACCAAAATGATGCTGGTTCAGTCCCCAGTCAGGGCACATACCTAGGTTGTGGGTTTGATTCCCAGTCAGGGCCTGCATAAGAGGCACCTAAGGCACCTAATAGATGTATCTGTCTCACATGGATGTCTTTGCCCCAGCTCCACCATAAAATTAATAAACATGCCCTCAGGAGAGGATTTAAATGAATTAAATGAAATATAAAAATGTTTTGAGGCTGTTTATTTTTTATTTTTTTATTTAATCTTTACTGTATTTTTTTCTGTTACCACTTAGTCCCCTTTATCAACCCCCAGCAATCACCACGCTGTTGTCCATGTCCATGTGTCCTTTTTCTTTTTTGCTCAATCCCTCCACCTTTTAACCTGCCCCCTGCAGCTGTCATCTGCTCTCCATCTATGAGTTGGTCTCTGTTCTGCTTGTTAGTTGTTTGTTCATTACATTCCACATATGGGTGAAATCATATGGTATTTGTCTTTCTCTGACTGGCTTATTTCACTTAGTGTAATGTTCTCCAGGCCCATCTATACTGTCACAAAGGTATAAAATTTTCTTCTTTTTTTACATCCCAGTAGTATTCCATTGTATAAATGTCCCATAGTTGTTTTATCCACTCATCCACTGATGGACACATGGGCTGCTTCCATATCTTGGCGATTGTAAATAATGTTGCAGTGAAAATAGGGGTGCATGTGGTCTTTCGAAGTAGTGTTTTGGGTTTCTTTGGACATATTTCCAGAAGTGGGACCACTAGGTCAAAAGGCAGATCCACTTTTAATTTTTTGAGGTACCTCCACACTGCTTTGCACAGTGGCTGCACCGACCTGCATTTGCACCAACAGCACAAGAGTGTTCCCCTTTCTCCACATCCTCACAAGCACCTGTTGATTTATGATGATAGTCATTCTGACAAGTGTGAGATGATATTTCACTATCACTTTAATTTGCATTTCTTTGATGATTAGTGGTGTCAAGAATCTTTCCATGTGTCTATTGGCCATGTGTATGTCCTCTTTGGAGAAGTGTCTATTCAGTCTTTTGCCCATTTTTTTAATTGGGTTGTTTGGTTTTTCAGTGTTAAGTTTTATAAGTTCTGTATAAATTTTGGGTATTAACCCCTTATCAAATGTATTGGCAAATATATCCTCCCATTTTGTGGGTCGTCTTTTTATTTGGTGGATGATTTCCTTTTCTGTGCAAAATCTTTTTAGTTTGATGTAGTCGCATTTGTTTGTTTTTTTCTCTTGATTCCCTTGCTGGAGAGATATGTCAGATAAAGTGTTGCTATGAACAATGTCTGAGACTTTGCTGATGTTTTCTTCTACAATTTGTATGGTTTGGGGTCTAATATTTAAGTCTTTGATCCATTTTGAATTAATTCTTGTGTGTGGTGTAAGAAGGTGGTCTAGTTTCATTTTCTGAACATATCTGTCTAATTTTCCCAACACCATTTATTTAGTAAACTATCTTTAGACCATTGTGTATGTTTGCTTCCTCTGTTGAATATTAATTAATTATAAAGGTGTGGCTTTATTTCTGTGCCCTACATTCTCTTCTATTGATCTGTTTTTATGCCAGTACCATGCTGTCTTGATTACCATGGCCTTATGGTATAGTTCGATATTAGGTAGTGTGATTCCTCCAATTCATTCTTCTTTCTCAAGATTGCTATTGCTATGCTGGGCATTTTTTGGTTCCATATAAATTTCTGGAATATTTGTTCTAGTTCTTGACATATGTCACTGGAATCTTGGTAGATATTTTACTGAATCTATAAATTACTTTGGGTAGTGTGGACATTTTAATGATGTTTATTCTTCCTATCCATGAACACAGTATGTGCTTCCACTTATTTGCATATTCTTCTATTTCTTTCTTCAGTGTCTTATAATCTCCCAAGTACAGGTCTTTTGCATCCTTGGTTAGGTTTATTCTTAAGCATTTTATTCTTTTTGTAACAATGGTAAATGGGATTGTTTTCTTCATTTCCCTGTCTGTTGGTTCATTATTGGCAAATAAAAATGTAAATGATTTCTGGATATTAACTTTGTATCTTGGTACTTTGCTGGATTCGTTTATCAGTTCTAGTAGTTTCTTGGTGGAATCTTTGGCATTCTCTATGTACAGTATCATGTCATCTGCAAATAATGGCAGCTTCACTCTTTCCTTTCCAATTTGGATGCCTTTTATTTCTTCTTATCTGATTGCTGTGTCTAGGACTTCCAGTCCTAGATTAAATAAGAGATTTAAAAGCAGACATCCCTGTCTCATTCTCAATCTTAAAGAGAACTATGCAAGACTTAAGGGGAACTACTCAAGAAGTAAGGGGGATCAGACAAAAATGTATCAAGATTATCAGGCTAAGGAATGTTGTGATTATTCAGTATGAAACTGTCTTCTATCTACTAAGTCAGCAATTAGAAAGTCTAATGTGGCAATTAGGAGCAAACCTTTTCAGAGAGTCTTCAGTCCCTTCTTACTGACAAATATATGTGTTTATAAAAGAGCCTGAGTCAAAAAATATATATAAAAATTTAATGATAATCCAAATTTTAGAAGAAAACACATTAATTATTGTTCCTACATAAAACATGAGAGCTAAAGACCAACTATGAAGGAGAAAGGGGAAAAAGGAGTGAAGGTAAAATAAAGGGGACAAGGGTGAGAAGAAGGAGCAGATATAAAGGAAAAGGAAAGGAAGGAAAGAGGGTGAGAAGGAGGAAAAAAGAACAGGAGAAAATATATAAAAAACATAATGTTTGCAATTTGGAATTGCCCCCACCTGTAAATCGAACCCTGTGTCTGTCTGTGGATACGAACTTCCATTTGTCAACATGGAAATAGCCATGGTTAATGTAAAAACAATTAATAGATTTTCCAGCAGAGGTAAGCACTGACAGTCCAGATTAGCTCTTTCAACAAGACTATGAAACCAAGACTCCCTAGAGCCTGTGGGTGGAGAACATATTAATATCAACTCTGTGACCACTCAGCACCGTGACATAAAGTGTCTGTTCAGGAGGTCATTTCCAAAATGTATCCCATACATCTTCATGTACAAGAGATGATAATTTATCACCTAGACATAGGGAGCTACTGTAAACTAATCCAAACTGCTGATGATACACTAAATCAGTTTGAGTGATGAGCATGAATAAAGCTGCAAAGAAGTACTGAAGGGTACAGATCTGTCTGATCAATGAAATGTCAGAAGGCAAATGAAATGCAATGTTGACGAGCATACCGTCCCTCAGTTGAAAATTAACTAAATCAAGTATCAGAACATAAAGGCACACGTTAACACAAGCTTCAAATGAAAGTTTAATATATGGGACACGGAGGGCAAATAGTTTGTTTCAGATAAAATTGAACAGACTGGGTCAGTAGAATTGGGTGAATTAAAAATTGATGTATTTTGCATACCATAGAAAGCATGACAGGATAAAAAAATGTTGCAAAAACAATAGTCTTTTCCAAGTAATATATCTATAGTTAATCAATCTTCCAAGCAATTCTACACATGCAGATGAAAAAAATAATGAAACTTGTATGTAGAAAATTATGTCACATCAACTTGCTACCAGGAAATCATATTAAAGTTGTGTTGCCTTTATGAAAGCTTAGGTGCTGTCTGGAGCTGTTATGCTACAGCTTCAGCGGGAAAAAACAAAGGAGTGGGGATGAGAAGGGACATGACTGCAGAAAGTTGGTACCCAAGGAGGGCACTCCTTGGGGGAAAAAAGATTTTTCAGACTCTGATCAGAATAGAGACTTGAGCACCAAACCAACAGGTGTGGTGGGACTCCGGTGTTCTGAAGGTGTCCCTGATAGAAAAAGCTGATGAAAGTAAATTACAACCTCTGTTGCAACAAATGTGTAAAAAATATTTTCTCAGAAAATTATTCTTCAAGAGATTGATATTTTTTCTGTGTTGTATTAAGTAAATAAAGCTTTATCATAACATATTTAACTCTTGCTCTGTATTTTACTTTTTAGTTTATTTTCGGTAAAGATAGAATTATACTACTAAACTATGACCTGATCCTATATGTAGTTTATTTAAATTTCAAAATGAAAAGCTTAGTAAGAACAGATAAGATTGATTACTCTCTCTGTCTTAGCATAATTGTATTTCAGGTGAACATCAATTTGCTTTAAAGGACACTTCTAAGTAGCAGAATGCATCATAAATAATTCATCAATCACAGCTGCTAGGAACATGCGTTACTTCAACAGATTCAATGGTACAAAAGTTCTATGTTTTTATATTTGTATTTGCTTTCTAGAGTTAACCGTCCTTCTTTTCTAAGAATGCACTCTCGGATTCCATACTTCATACTCTAAATTTTTATGATAAAACAACTTCCTTTTCTCCCTTATGTAAAATATTGTATGTTCTAATTTTAAAATATTTAAATAGCTGTGGAACAAATAATGATGTATGCATATCAACAACAAAACAACATAAAAGGCACATATCTGAAAGAAGACACTAAGATTTTTCTTAAATACATATTTTAGTAAGGTTAACATACTTTGTTTTCACTTTATGTAAAATTTTAAATGGAAGAAAAAGGAAGTTGACTTGAAAATATTTTGTAAATGTTTTATGATCTGATAGATTTGAAGCTTACTTCAATTTTAAAATTGTATAATAAAAAGATTCTAAGGGTTACAACAGTTTGAGTTTTATCAGTTGGTGTGGTGCCTTACCTTTTTCATTTGTCATAGTGTAAGATACTGCTTACCTCACTCATCCTAAAGTTTTCCATCAAAATCAGAAATTTTGTATTAGCAATTTTCCAAGCTGTAAAAAATCTTTAAAATAAATATAATGACAAGGAAAAAGATAAGAGAAAATAGGAAGTATATTACTTACCTGCAAACCCCTCTGAAACACGGAATGGCCCATAAAATTAGCCAGCATTCTAATTAAAGCAGCACCCTGTAGAAAAAGAGTATTTTCTTTAAAAAAGAAAGGAATTTCAACCAAATAATGTGATTCTAAAATTATCCTATATCAGTCAAAAATAGTTTGACTCATTCATGCTATTTTATTCTTAAAAACAGTTAAGAAATAGAAACATCATAAATACAATATTCTTTTTATAAGTAACAATTCTTATTATTTTTTTAATCTAAAACCAATGACTTCAAAATAGAAATCTCCTGGATAGACTATCTCGTGGCAATAATAAGCTGTAATTCCAAGTATTAAAAATTTTGTTAAGCACTACATATGATAGAGTTAATAAAACATGGTTCTTGTACTTACAAATTCATAATCTAGTACAAGAGAATGTCTGCATTAATAAATAATCATATTAAAATATAGCATTGGAGTAACATAGCTCCTTACTCTAACCCTGGCTTAACCAAGAATAGTTTAGCTACAGAAATGGAAAGTAGGGAGACCCAGCCATCAGGCTGCTTGGCTCCAGACCCTGGCTCTGCCCCCTTCTGGCCATGTTTACTTAGGAAAAACAAAACTTAACCTCTCTGTTCCTCACTTTTCTCACTCATAGGTATAAGCAATAACAATCTCGATTTAATACAGTTATTCTGAAGCTTAAATGAATTAATAAATGTAAAGCACTTACAACATGGTCTGAAAAATAGTAGCCACAATATGAGTACTACCTATCAGTATTATATTGAACTAATAATTTTTATTTCCTGTCTATTTTTTTACAGCCTGGCTGTAGCCGCATATTCATATAAAAGTAAAACATATGCTTGATATAAATATTTAAAGTAATGGAGAAAAATACTAATTTAGGAGTCTACCTCACCTTGAGAACAATTATTATAATATTGTGGAACAATACCAGTGCTAAAGGGAGACACATAATCAATATGAAATATTCCAAGTAATGATAGTTAAGCCTGGATGATTACAAATTTGTGTGAAAAATATAAGTCAACTTTCAAAAAGGTATTTCAAGTTGCACAAAATTGTTTTAACTATGGCACAGTGGATTATAAGCAGCAAAAGTTTAAATATAAATAATAGCCTGGTTATGGGGGGAATTCTTTCATGACTCACACATTAAATTCATTCTCATTACAAATTCACACTCTCCAGTAACTCATTTCTTACAAGATTTTTACATTGAATTTCCTGGGGTGACATTGGATAACAAAATTATACAGGTTTTGGGTGCACAATTCTACAACACATCATCTGTACACTGTACTGTGTGTTCACCACCTCATGACAAGTCTCTGTTCATCCCCATTTGCACCTGCCATGGTGTCTTTTCTATAAGAGAATCATATCAACCGCATAGGGACTCACCCTGTCTAGAACTAAACTGTGGCAGCCAGCCCAAAATGCAAAGAGGAATTTCCATTGTTACTGAAATCATTTCCTAGAATTATGGAATGTTAATGAAATATAACACTCAGGCTCCATGAATCATCATTAAAGAAACGTTGCAAAAAAATTCAGTCACCACCAAAATTGTTCCAAAAATTAGTATTTTATTTATAACTCAACAAATGTTATGCTGGACAAGCCATCGAGTTCTGTACTTCTTCTGACATATTTTTCTAGAACACTTTGTACTCTGCTCTTTCTTGTGCTTCTTCCTCTTTAACTTCTGTGTATTTGTAAAGGTCCCTAAAATATAAGCATTTATGACCCAATCTGAGGACCTGATTCGAATTCCCTTCAGAGCTCATCAGCTTTACTCTTTGAATTTCCTTCGCAAGCCCTCCTCCTGCACAACTCCTAATCTCACACATCCACCCTGAGGGCGGAAACTTTCAATTCTGCAGCAAAACTACGCTTTTCCACTTGAGGAGTAAGACTTAGACTCTCAAACATCATCTCAAACTTTGCCTCAGAACAGAATAACCATCTTCGGATGATTTAATTCCCTCCAGGTAATGATGACTGGGCCTCTTGTCAGGCTATTAAAACTATCAATTTAGCATGGTCTAATGGCAAAAGAGTCCTTTCTAATCATAATGAATGTACCGGTTTTCCTGTCTCGGTTGAGCTGGAGCAGAGTGCTAACAGGAAATAAAACCTAGAAACATAATCAATATGTAAAAGTTATATATCACTGAACTTCCTATTATTATTATATTGTGTAATTAAATTAACTTTCTAAAACTGCACTCGTGTTGCCCACTTGAACATCTAAAATTCCCGAGAGCAGCATGCACTCCTATATTTAATTGCCTTTTCTTTCCAAAGCTACATTTTAAAAATCCGTATTTCATAAAACTTCATAGGCAAGTGGCCTCTCCAACCATCGTCATTCAGCCAACATACACATGGCACCTACTACTTGGGCTTAAAATAAGAATCACACCTCTTAACACAGGCATGATGCATTGCAAATCTTTTTTAAAAAAAGAAAAAGAAAACACTGAATCCCCCTTTATCATGTTTTAAAAACATTTTTCACCAAGCAAATATTATTTACAATATTGTAATTTATACTCACTTATGATTCAAAACTCTACTCCCAATCAAACAAATTTGATGTTAGGCAGCCTGAACAGCTTTAAGAGAAATAAACAAACTATTTCTACAAGCTTTTTATAATTTTGAAACTTCCTCTAAAAACCTATGATTATATTTACCATGCTAAAATTCAGGGAGATATTAGGATGGAAACTACCTGAGTTTCTTAAGGTTTTATAAAGAATATTCCATAAAAATATAAACCCGTAGCTCACTTAGCAATTTTCTATTTGGGGCATCTTTTTCATCTAAGTTCCTAGCTAAAATTTATTGTATCTCACATTATAATCAGTCTCTAAGACAGTAAACATCTGCAGAGAAAGCCAGGTCTCCATGGCTTGGATGCCCCATGCCCTGTGCCTGGGTCAGAGGTATGACTCCCTTAATGGAGTAACCAGGTGAGAGAGAAAGAGAAATTAGTTGCACACGTAGCAATTACTTTGTATTCCTGAAGACTACTCAGACAGGATGCGGAGTTTATTACTTTATTGGTGTACCTTAGTGATAAGTAATCACTTTTGAAGACAGGGAGATTGCAACTAATTTATTCTTTTAACGTATACTTATTGAGTAAAGCAGCGTGCTCAGTATCCTGTAGAATATAAATATGTATGCAGCAAGTCTGGATCCTCCAGGACCTCAAAACCTTATGAGTGAGATGAGAAGATACAACACGGTATAAGGTGAATTGTAAGTAAGTAAGTAAGTAAATAAATAAATAAATAAATAAAATATTCAACTGTGTTTCAGACAAAAAAGAAAGCTTATTATATCTGCAGGAATACATGTCGAAGAGGATCAAAAGGCAAACAGTGCATTCGTGTTAGACCTTAAAGGATGGGCAGGGTTCCATACGCCAAGGTAAACAGGAAGCACTTATTTGCGTGGTACAATAGGAGTGGTCTTTGCAGACTCATGCAGGTGAAGAGTGAAAAGCGTAAGTGGACTTGATCTGTTTGACTCTACCATAAACCCATTGTGAGAAGCAGTTCCTGGAACATAGTAGGTTCTCAAGAAATGCTGAATCACAATAATGTAGGAGAGGCAAGCCCAAGATTATGTGAGTTGGAAAAAGTGGAACTAGGTTTGAACTCCAGTGAGAATAAAATAAGGAGTCAAAAATGTGGAAATGTGTAGAAAATCCTAAGTCCTAGCTAAAATTATTAGTGATGTACCTATCATTCATTAAGCAACAACTACATGCCATGTTCACATTATTATAAGGAAATACCTTCATCTTTAGTTTTCAGATTAGGCATAAAAGGTTGTACAATTTACCCAAATTAACACAGGTAGTACACTATAGAGCCAAGATTGAAACTCCACTTAGATCTAACTCCAAAATCAGTCATCTTAATGAAGCTGAATTCCTTTCTTGTGATCTCAAGTAAAAGTTACCTGACACTCTCCAGAAACCTTGGGCACAGCAAGAACTTAGAAAAGGAATTCTTAGAGTTACTCAGTTTGGAATCAGTGGGTATTCCCAGGAGACAATGAGGGGAAACCTAATTCATTGAGATGCAGTTGAAATAGCTGACCAACATGTCCAGGACTGGCCATGGGGCAGAAGACAGAAATTGGCTAGCATTATAGAACACAATGATAGACTAGGAGGCATAAAGATAGTTTGGAGCAGATTCAGTATGAACAAAGTTGAAAATAGTGATGTTTTTTATCAGATACTGAGTGTAGATGTCCTCTGTAGCCTCTCTGTACTTGCTCCCTGGAGGCTGTTTTCCTCAGTCCACTCCCAGCTGGTGACTGAGCATGCGAGCGGAACTGAGGCGGGCACCTCCCAGTGAGATGGGGAATTCGAATGGGAAGCTCTGGCATCAGGACTCCCCATTGGCCTGGATGGATGTTTCTTGCAATTGGACTGCTGTCTAAAATTCTTTCAGTTCAATGCTTCTTCTTTCCCTCTCTTTTTGTGTAGGCTGTGAACTGCCCTGTGGTCTCAAGGTGGCTCCTCCTACCTCCATTGGCTTCTTTCTCACATAAATACCTTACACACCACAGTGACTTCTCAAAAGACCTCACCCAGTAGGAAAGCTTTAGTGCTGAGATCTAAACAGGTATGAATTATTGGTCTTTTATATTGGTATATTCCAGTATTCCACTATAAAGATGTGTTCACTTTTACATAGGATATGAGCAGACAAAAAAATAATGTATCAGCCTTGACTGGTATGGCTCAGCGGGTTGAGTGTCATGCTGCAGATTGGAAGGTCACTGGTTCGATTCATGGTCAGGACACATGTCTGGGTTGTGGGCCAGGTCCTGGTTGTCGGTGTGCAAGGAGCAATGGATCGGTCTCTCTCACACATCAGTGTTTCTCTCCCTCTCTTTCTCCCTCCCTTCCCCTTCTCTAAAAATTAAATAAATAAAATCTTTAGAGAAAAGAAATAGTGTATCACTATATTCAGTTTACATATGGGAGAGACAGAGGTAAAGGGTAAAGTGATTTGTCT